CCCCCCCCCCCGCTCCGAGTCCGTCAGTCCTTCTGCCCCGAACAGCGGCTGTCCCTATTGCAGGAGGGCGGCAGAACCTCCTGGGAGCTGTTGCAGTGAGCGCGGTGCCGCCATCGTGATGCTCGGAGTGCGGCTATTCCCATCACACGTGGGTTATTGCCATTAAATGTGGGTTATTGCCATCACACGTGGGTTATTCCCATTAAATATGGGTTATTCCATCACATGCGGGTCACTATTCCCATCACATGTGGGTTATTCCCATTAAATATGGCTTATTCCCATCACAGATAGCTGATTGCCATGAATAGGGCTGTGATCCTGCCAGGACCCGGCCCAGGAGTGTCCCCAGCTGCAGGACCTGCACAATCTGGGGCCTCACATGTTTTTGGGGAGGTTTCCTGACCTCCGCCTTGATGACACGACCAAAAATCACTGCTTTTGGGGCACCCCAGCACCTCAGAAACCCTCACTGTGAGCAATTATTGAGTATAGGCTTTATGCACTACTTTAAAATGTATTTTCAGTAGTGTTTTTTTTCCCCCAGTATTAGAAGCAAGGCATTCACTGTATGGTTTATGCCTTTCTTCAGCCTGAAGATGGTTTGCTTTCAGCTGCCTGTAGAGCTTCGGTAGTCCGTGCAAGACCTAAATAGCAAAAAGCAATGCATTGTGCAAGATAAATTGCTAATTGATAGGAAACCTCGATTAAAACTATAAAGCAGCACGTAAAGATCTGTGGGCTCGGGGCATGGGGCTGGAGCTGTTCCCCTGCAGGATTTCGTGAGGCTTTCGTTGCCATAACAACTGCAGCCAGGCTTCAAAAATAGTAACTTATTTTTCATTCCATTCGCCTTTTGCCCTCTGAGACGGATCTATTTCGGGAGTGATGGTTCAATTTTGGTGCCCTCCACCACTGCCCCCGGCTGGGGGCTTCGGGTGGGGTTATGTGGGTAGAGGGGATTTGTTGCTGTTTTCTCTTCCATCTAAGTGCAGAGAAAGGTAAAGCGGGGAGCAGGCGTCACAAAACAGCCTTTGCCAAAGCCTTGTCATCCTGGAGCTGGGGAAGGAACTTGGAAAAACAAACCCCAAAGCATAGGAGAGGGCTTGGGAGTGATATCATTGCATGGCAGCATGAACCCGTAGCCCACAGCAAGGGCTGTCCTAGATACACTGGGAAGATCCCTCTGGAACAAGGGAATTCATTCCCTTGTCCCCTCCTTGGTCTCAGCACTGGAAATCGTGCAAAGAAGCTGAGCCCGATGGATCCCATCACATGGAGAATCCCCCTCCCACACGTCCCATGGAGGGGATGAAGCTGCACTTGGGGGGGGGTTGCACAGAGTTAATTTGTGCCTTGAATGATGTAGCACACAGATGCCCCTCTGCTGCAGGGATTTAGTGTTCACTTGGATGCAAAAAGAAGCTTCAAAGCATGATTTGGATCTGATGGAAAATGATGTTCTCCAGGAAATTTTTAACTGCTTTGGCTCTGTGGAGCTGTGTGCAATTGATTTTTCATGGAAACAACCATACGAGTATACCCTGCACAAGGAGATGTCTGTGGCACATGGAGATGTTCCCCCTTCCTCCCACCACCCTTGTTACGCCATCAGCAGGGACAAACTGTGTTTGGGGACATTTGGGCTCTCCTCCTCCAGTGCTGCTATCCCTACATCTCCTTCCTTGTCCCTCACCTGCTATCCTGAAGGCACCCTCGTCATAGAACCATTAAGGTTGGAGAAGATCTCCAAGGTAACAAAGTCCAACTCAAACCCGTTCCCACCGTGACACCAAACCACGTCCCTCAGCACCACATCTCCACGGCTCCTGGACACCTCCAGGGACAGTGACCCTGCTGCCTCCTGCAGGTGCGTATCAGCACCTCAACAACCAACCCCTGGGATGGGGAGGTGATAGAGAGGATGGAGGCTTTGGATGGAGGCTCGTGGGTCCCCACCCCTGCACACCTCGCTATGACAGCTGGAGCAGAAGCATCAGCCCCACAGAAAGCCGTGAAACAGAATGAACAAAATCCTCCCGATAAAATAAATAAAAGCAAAACCAAAGCCGAACGTCTCCCTCGGGGGGCTGGAGTGGGGGGGGGGGGGGGGGGGGGGGGGGGGGGGTTGGACAGGAGGTGCGCCTCAAAAGGCACCCACAGTTACCACCACGCTCGCTGCTCCCTCCATCCCTCGCTTTAATTACATTTTCAATTCAAATCTGCTGCTATTTGATCCGCCGGGGGTGTGTGTCTATGTGCGGGGGGTATTTTTAGCTGTGCTTAAAGCTGCCTGGGTGGATAAGAGAGATTGTGCAGGTTGCCGCGACCAGGCGGAGCGGGACGGGATTTGTCCCCCCTCCTCTTCTCCTCCCCATCTTTGCCCATTTGCTGGCTGTGAGCGGGGCTGGCTGCCTCTCCAGCTGCCTCCCTTTCGGTCGCCTTTGTTTTTCCCCGGATTCTTCTCTTGTGCAACAGGGGGGCGAGGCTGCCCTCTGCTTCTCCTCCTCCCCGGCATTTCAGCCCCGACGAAACCCATGAAGTCTCTGCGGGTCCGCAGGGCATCGCCACCCTCGTGGGGTTCGGGGACCCCCGGGCTCCTCACCCCACACTGAACCGCCCGTGGCCGCGTCCCGGGACGCCCCATGGCACCGCCGCGATGTTGGCGTCCGGAGCCCTGGATTTCCAGAAGACGCGCTACGCCAGGTAAAGCCCTCGGCGCGGGGATTGCTTTGCTTTGTGCCCCGGCCCCTTGAATCAAGCCAGAACCCAAATCGAACCCTGAGAGACCTTCAAAAGGTGCTGAGTGCCTCAAAGCGCAGGGCAGGTGCAGGCTGTTCCCCTCACCTGCAGGCACACGTTGTCTTTCAGGATAAGGATGCCTGTTCCTTTTTGCAACCGTAAGGGATTCAGGGCATCGCTCCCTGTAGCAGGGATGAGGTTTGCTGCCGTTCGGACCTACCAACCCCATTTGCCACCAGCCTAAGGCATGTGGACCAAATAGGTGGGCGAGGTGGTGCTGGATCTCAGGTCCTGGAATTCCCCACTGGGTTTAACTCTGCTCTCCTCCCACTGCTAGGGCACTGGCAGCTCAGAGCTCAGCTGGCACAGACCTACTACTGGGTGCTGATCCTTATGGGGGTTACCAGCTTATGGGGAACCTAAGGGCTGTGTAATGTCAGGCCATAGGATGCTGGGGAGGTCCCGGGACAGGCTTTGTCCTCAGCTCCCTGCCTGGGGATGTTTCCATCGTTGCACAGAGCTCTGTAGGTAGTGCAGTCCTGGGGGGCACCAAGGTCTGTTTCTGCCCCAGCAAAGTCCTGGTGGTGCTGTTAGGGGCAGATATCCCCCCCAGAAAGAAATGAAAAGGAAGGTGGTGATCTTGCTCCAAGCAGGAGAACCCCTGATTGCCTTCACTGGGGGGAGATGTGGAGGCAGCATCTGGCCCAAAACTCCTCCCGAGAACAGAATTCAAACATTTTTTTCCCAGCCAGCTTGCAGAGGGCCATTGCAAAATGGAGCCAAGCCAAGTTCAGTGCACCCACAACAGGGAGAAAACGGTGCATTCATTCCATGGCAGCTGTGCTTTGAGGGCTGGAAGCAAAGCAGAGCTGTCCCCCATCACAGTCCATCTGCTATCCCTTGATCTCCCCCCAAAATCTGCATCCTTAAAGCTTGCTGTGGTCCTTATGGAAACAGCTTGTTAAATGAGTGTGTTGGAGAGGACGTTGCACAAGAATGGGACTACAGGGCATGGGAAGGATCAGACCTTTGGGGTGTTCTTGATCCATCACTGGGTGCAAGAGTCTGGATGGGGAGCAGGGTGACATAGATGCTCCCCCAGCTCTCACCCCATGACATACTGATGTGGTCACCAGCACGTGATGCTCACCCAGAGTCCCTACGTCTCCACAGAGATCCTCTTACCCCAGTGCTTAAAAATAACCATTCACTAATCCCCATCCCCCTGGGCTCCATGTAGCAGCTCTCCTCTCTTTCTAAACACTCTTCCATACCACATCTCAAAAGAGACCCTAAAACTACTCTTTCTTTCATGCCAGCGGCTCCCCCAGCTCCATTGGGCCATGGGTGATGGGGTCAAGCATGAGTAGGAGTTGCAGCAGCATCAGTGTTGCCCTTCAGGGCATCATCAGCATCTTGTCATGTCTTCTCAGAGGGTAAAGAACTCTCAATTCCTCAGAAAATATAGCAAAAAGTTTCCTTTGTGATGGAAAGGCCTGGAACTGCTCCATTTTTAATGTCTTTTATCTAATTTCGAGCGAGGACCAAGAAAGGAGGAATTTAGCCATCAATACACCTGCCAGCAGGAATAAATAAAACACAACGACCTGTTGGGTGGGAGCTGCAGTGGTTTTAACAGAGATGAAAGGCAGTGGGATCGATGCAGGAGCAACCTGAAAACCACAGGGAGAAACCCAGGGCTGGAGGGCACCGAGTGCTCTCAGGTGGGCTTTGGGGATGGAGCACAGCTCTTGAAAGAAGGCAGGCAGAGAGGGGTGTCCCCATTTCACACCAGAGCAATGGATCAGTGTGGTCACATCATCCCTGGAACCCATCAGGGCCAGGTCAGAGGCCAGTAAATGATCCCTCCCTTACCCTGTGCTGCTTTGGCTCACTTTTCACCGTGGGCTCTCTGTTAGGTGCCTGTGTGCAACTGCAGTTCAGTTCCAGTCTCCCCACAGGCACAGAAATGCTTCTCAGCATTGGGCCATCAGGAACTGTAATTGAAAGGAAACAAGATTACATGGGGAGCGGCTGCATCTGGCCAGGTCCTGCAGCTCTGGAGTGGAGCAGCCAGGGTGAGGGCACTGCTGGGAGCTGCAGTCTGCACTGAATCACCATAATTAAGTGGTAGAGGCTCAGGATTTGATTTGCCCACAGAAGAGGCTCCATGTCTTATTGCATTTGCTTGTCTTGCCCTGCACGGAGGAACAGCAGCCAGGATAGTCCTCATGACAGGACTGTCCATAGGTGTCTGCGTGGTATGCAGAATGTAAGCACTGCCACATCCACCAGCACTGAGGGACAGAGCAAAAGGTCAGGGGAGAACTTCACTGCTCCCTGCACACTTGCATGCTAAGCAAGGAGACACAGACTGGTCCCACCCCATGCATCTCCAGGAGCCATCAGCACAGAAGGCAGAGAAAGCATTGGGGTGTTCAGACTCCAAATACAGAAAGACAGCCTAGGCAGAGCTATTGCACTGGGAGCATTTTCTCCATGTTTGCTTTATAAAGGAAGCACAAGCAGCCCTCATCTGCTCCCACACACACAGAGCTGTTTTCCAAGATCTCTGCTTCCCCCACAACCCATATGATGAAGCAGTGAGAAGGGGAATGCTTTCAGCATTGGGATGGCAGCTGTGGAGGGGCAGGGGCTGCTCGTGGGTCACACTGTGTCCATTGGGACCTGCAGTGCTGACTGGGGACACCCTGAGAGAGACCCAGTGAAAAATAGGATCACCACACCTCACCAAAATATTGGCTTAGCTTAGGAGCAGTTTGACTCACTCTCTGAAGTCAGCACTGGTAGGATTCATGCATGAAGTTTGTCCAGATTGCAGTTGTTGCATCCAGGTACTGGGAAGGCACTGAGTGCCCACACCATCCACCTCCCTTCCTTTGGGATGGGTCAGGGAAGCAGGCAGAAATCACTGCACAGGCAGCAGCAAGCCCCATGGGCAGCCAAGCCACATGCTGCTGGGGAAGGGCAGTCTCTTTGCCAGCTGGGAAATGGATGCACCATGTCCCTTCTCCAGCTGGTGTTGGATATCAGCCTGATGTGATTCCTTGGCACAGCTCACCCCGGCCCATTCCATGAGATAGCAGTCAGTGCAATACATGGAACGTGAGGCACTGCCCAGCGTAGCTGACTGGTGTACAGGAGATGTTGGCTCTGCAGGACTCAGGCACCCTTTGGAACTTTCCAGGTGAAACTGAACCTTAAGCCACAAACATTTTCATGTAGTGCTCATAATCCTGAGTCAGGTGGGCTCTATGTGACATCTCCTGGTAAGGCCAAATACCACCAACATCGCAGTGCTTGCTTCAGTCACCAATGAGCTGAGCAGTCCTGAGTTCCAGGAAAGTTGAGGTCCAAAGCTGTGCTCCTGCACTGCACTTTGATGCAGATGATATTGCTTGAAACCATCCCATCTGCTTTCTGGCTGGTGAAATGGTTCAGCCAGGCAGGGAATACTCAGGATCTGTACCACTGACCTCTGTGCTCACAGTGATGCAGGCAAGGCAGTGAGAAGCATGCCCAGTGCCTTCCCCAGCAAGCAAATAAGGGGGGTTTTCAGCCCTGGAAGCAGCCCTGCAAACATCCACTGAACACCTGGGGGATCAGAGTCATGTTGTGACTAATCAGGGCTCACCAGGACCAAATGAAACAAGAAGTCCCAGCTTAGAAAGTTATTTGGGAAACACTCACAGATCCCATCTGCTGTGAATAAACAACAGCTCTGCTGTGGCTGCAGGGTCACGAGTTGCTTCAGAAGAGCTGGAGATGCTGTCTGTACAGAGAGCAGAAAGCTGCTGGAGAGAAAAATAAGTATCCATACCTAGAGGAGCACCATATGTTCTGTAGGAGCACACATGGGAGCAGAGGCTCCAATGGGGCACATGCCTGCGTGGGCAGCTCCACAGATGGCAGTGCCAGGCAGCATCAGCTTTTGCATTTTTGCTTCCCCATGGAGAATGTAAGCCCTCCTCTGCACCTTCACGTGCAGCACACTGAGCTAATTGTGAGCTGCAAAGGAGCTCAAGAGGATGGAGCCTCTTAAAGGAACTGCAGTTGGAGCTTTATCAGATTATGGGAAAGAAGCAGTGCACACCAAGCCCCAGCTTATAGGGGTGCTGCAGCAGCATGTGCACAACCACAAGCCCAAAGACCAAGGCCTGGCATCAGCACAAGGTATTCTGCCTCCAGGCTCATTAGGGCAAACACAGGTCATGTGCAGAGAGGGTGTGGGGTGGTCAGTCCTGCAGGGCCACATCTGCTCCATCAATGTCACTGCATGCATTGCAGCACACACATGCTCCCAAGCCTTGCTCTATCAAGGAACACCCAGAAGGATCTTACCATCACATCAGCATCCAGTGAAGGTATTGCTTTCTCCATCCATCCTCTCTGCAAGATGCTACCATCAGGGTGCAATCCTGTTTCTCCTTAGGAAGGAGGCACAACAAAACAGCTCTCACTTCTAAAGGCATGAAAGTGAACTCTGAGTCAGCTCTGCCCTTTTATAAGCCATTCACAGGTGAAACCCAAAGCAATCAGCTGCTCTGGGTCATTCCCTTCACCTGCCAGCATCCAGCATTGACTGTTGGTGGGCAGAGGATGTGCTGGTGGCTGTCACAGCCATGGCAATGTGCCCAACTCCTCGATGCAGAGATTCATGAGATGTGGAATGTATACAGCTCGACACAGAGCAACGTCAGACACTCCAATGCACCCCCATGAGCCGTCCCAAGGAGTCATTTAACTGATCCCTGTTTTCACTTTCTTCTCTCCCAGCACTAGCAAAGTAATAGCCAGGCAGAGCTGGGTGATTTTTTGAGGTCAGAACTTTGTTCTTGGACAGAAGTCTTTAAAAAAAAAAACAAAAAAAAAACCACAAAAACCCACCACTACAAAATGAGAAGAAGAAAAAAAAAAACACACAAAAAAAAAAAAAAAAAGAGTGGGAGAAAGAGAAGGAGAAAGGAGCAAGCCTGGGAAGCTGTCTCTGTGCTCTGGCCCGGCTGCTGCAGACAAGGGGCTCTTTGTTCCTCCGGGCTGAGCCAGGTCCTTGGGCCCTTTTCAGTCTCCCTAGCTGGGCAAGGGGCCCGGGGAGGGCAGGCACAGCCCTGGGGCTTCAGCAGTGACCCATGTTTGGTCCCCACCAATTCTGGGAGCAAAATGATTCTGGGAGCCCTGAGGGCTGTGCTGAGCCCTGGGGTGCTCTGCTTCTCATGCACTGTCCCAAAGAAGAGAATAGGCTCGTGCTCCCATCACGGAAGTTTTAAACTTTTCTGTGCCTTTTGGGCTTTGCAGTCACGCAGCGTTTGCTGAAATGCTCTGCCCAAAGGGCTGGGAGGGCTGTGGGAACAGACCTCCCCTCTGTGCCCCTCACAGCCACCGCCACAGGGTCAGGATGGAGCAGCAGCAGCAGGCGCGGGGCTCTGTTAAAAAAATAAATGCAAGGAAAGGCTGTGTGCATGTTACCCCAGCAACTGCAACGTCACGAGGGACGTCTGGGCCTGCAGCCCCACTTCTCCTGGTTATGAAAAGGGAAAAGAGAAAGGGAAGCAGAAAGCGAGGGGGACCTGGGGACAGTCTCCTGGCAACGTGGGGCAGCGGTGGCCTCCAGCAGGGGGGGGACGTGGCTGGGGCATGGGGAGTGCAGCCAGCCCTGCTGGCTCTGATGGGATGGGGGGAACCCAGTGTCCCCGGGATGGAGGTAGCATCTCCAGTGGTGGAGGGGGCAGTCCCAGGGTTATTCACTTGCATTCTGGCTGTGGGCAGCACTGTTTTCCTTAAGGTCTAATGTGCATCGCAAGCAACATTCCCTCTATTTGCAGAGCACGGGGAGCTAAACCCCTCTGTTTCTCTCCCTTAGGGTCACCCTCAGCCCTGCAGCAAGGTCCAGCCACCCCCAGTCCCTGGCTGTGCACAGCTGTGCTGTGAAACATGCTGCAGATGGTGCAGAGCCAGGAGCAAACAGGGTCAGGGAGCAATTAGACCAACTCCTGCCCCTGCACCCGGCTGTCCTGGTCCGATCTGCAGCAGAAAGCATCTTTAAATCACTGTTTATGAGAGGCAGACAGGGAAGGGTAGCTGTCTGCCCATTTCTTATTCCCTTTCTCTACTCTCACCCTTCTGGAGCAGGGAGTGGGGCATGGCTGCTTTCAGGGATGCACATTTAATTTGCTCCCAGTACAGCATCACCTACCCGGCAGTGGGCTGCTGGCACAGCTCTTTATTGCTCCGTGTGCATTGATCTGATGGGGGAAATCGATACGTTCCTCCGCACGCCAGGAGCAATCTGATACTTCAGGCAAAGAGAACCAGAATAAAAAAGAAAAAAGTTTCCTAGGGAGCATGGCAGGGCTTCTCCAGCAGCAATCAGCACTGAGACAAATGTTGGGGCTATGGGGGGTGCAGGTGGTACCCTGCCTTCCCAAAAGGCTTTCTCAGTCCCCCCATCCCTTGATGGTGTTTCTCTCCCTGCTCCATTGCAGGTTCATGAACCACCGTGTCCCTTCCAACCGCAGGTACCAGCCGACAGATTACGAGCATGCGGCCAACTGTGCCACACATGCGGTGAGTCTGCGTCCCCTCCTGGGGTGTGGGACAGTGCCCGGCCCCGGGGATCACCTAAAAACATCAGCAATCAGCCCTGCAGCCCTTGAGGGCCTCGGGGTTGAGATGAGCAGCTGTGTCTGGTGCTCTGGGGATGCTCTCCTTCCTGCTCCAGCCCCGATGTGAGATGGTCCTTTTTGGATGGCCCTCAGCAGAGTAGGAATATTTGGCAAAGCATGGCTCACCCTAAGAAAGAGAATTTTCACATCAGGAGCAGCAATGGGGCTGTCTGTACGGTGATGGGAGCGAGTTCCCTGAGGAGCTTCTGGCTCCTGCTCCAAACGCGTGGCATGGCCAAGAGGTGTTGCTCCTCCTCGTGCCCTCCTCCTCCATGCCCCTGCCTGCCTGCCGTTCTGTGTGGTGAAGTGCAGGGACCACAGATCAACTGCTCAGTGGACATGCAAGTTGTGACCAGCAGGCTCCTTCTCCTCCCAGTTCTGGATCCTGCCCAGCATCCTTGGCAGCTCCATCCTCTACGTCCTCTCCGATGACCGGTGGGAGACCATCTCAGCCTGGATCTATGGCTTTGGCTTGTCCAGCCTCTTCATCGTCTCCACCATCTTCCACACCATCTCCTGGAAGAAGAGGCATCTCAGGTACCAGCCCTGCCTGCTGAGGTCTCAGTCCCATGTTTGTATTTGTAGCACAGCCCAAATCCTCTTGGTCAAAGTTTTTCTGAGCCGTGCCAATGGGAAAAAGCATTTTCTTTTCTTTTTGCAAATGTATCTGGTTTTACAGAGCACAGTGCCACGGGCTCTGACTCCATCTGTATGTCCACCCTGCAGGACCGTGGAGCACTGCTTGCACATGTTTGACAGGATGGTGATCTACTTCTTCATTGCAGCATCATATGCTCCATGGTGAGTGCCTGGTGTGCTCAGCCCTAACAGAAGGCAGAAACCAGCCCAGAAATAATGGTCAGCGATTGCACTTTTCACTAAAACTTCCCATTCTCTGCATCTCAACCACTTTCAGCTGATGTTATGGGTGGGAAGAGCAGCATAGCTCCAGCACCTCCTGCCTGCAGGAGGGCTGGGGTGCAGCAGGAGGTTGGGATGCAGAAAGATGGGGCACAGCAGGAGGTTGGGGTGCAACAAAAGATTTGGGGTCCTCCTCACCGCAGCCCTGGGTCTTGCAGGCTGAACTTAAGGGAGCTGGGGCCCTGGGCCTCCCACATGCGTTGGATCATCTGGATCATGGCATCTGTCGGCACCGTCTATGTGTTCTTCTTCCACGAGAGGTCAGTGCCTTTACCCAGCTCAGCTCCGCCCTTCCTTCCCCGAATACCCCAGAGCAACAGTCTGTAAGCTGTGAGAGCGGCCAAAGACGGAGACAGATAGATAGACAGACAGACATGGGGTCCCTGGGCAGCCTCCTGGGCAGGAGGACCACATCCTTACCCCGTACGCTGTGTTTTTAGGAGGCTGCGGCTCTGTGGCAGGGCTGTGGGAGTGAGGATGTGCTGTCATGAGTGTGTTCTTCCACGGGGTGGCACCAAATGGAAAGCTAAAGGCTCCAAAGCCTTCCCAAAACCCTCCGTGCGAGCTGCCAGCTCACGCCTGGACGTGGGAACTCCTGAGGTGGCACCCATAGATGGAATGAGATATAAATGTAAAATCCGACCCTGCCTCCAAGCACCTTCTCCATTGGCTGCAGGTACAAGCTGGTGGAGCTGGTGTGCTACGTGATCATGGGCTTCTTCCCCGCCTTGGTCATCCTCTCCATGGTAAGCCGTGCTGGGAAGCACGTGGGCTCAGCACAAGAACATGTCCAGTGGGGTTGGGATGCTCCAGAGGGTTGGCATGGTCCAGCCTGCAGACAGTTGGTGATGGATGAGGTGATCATCAAAGATGATGTGGTTCAATTGTGATTCGGGTGCCCAATTTGGGGTCTCCAAAGGAGTTGCTCTCCATGCTCCATGGTGTTGAGAGCATCTGAGCAAAGCTGGGCTGCTGGCCATAAGGAGGGGTTGGTGTAGGACAAGGCAGGACAAGGCTCTGACACGTTGCTGGTGGTGACCATACTGTCTCTGTGCTTTTCTCTCAGCCCAACAGGGATGGCCTCCCAGAGCTGGTGGCCGGAGGGATTTTCTACTGCCTGGGCATGATCTTCTTCAAAAGTGATGGCCGCATCCCCTTCGCCCACGCCATCTGGCACCTCTTTGTGGCCATTGGAGCTGGCATCCATTACTATGCCATTTGGAGGTACCTCTACCGGCCCGATGCACTGGAGGCCAAAACGTCCCGATAGACGCCTTAAGGACCCTTCACATCAATGGGGACGTGGAAGGGGAGCAGGGAGGAGAGCCCAGACCATGGGCTCACCCCAAAGCCACCTGCTGCCCCCTGCATGATTTTGATTTTAAACAGATTTTTCTTTTTTAACCTTGAGAACTGTTTATTTTTTTAGGCAATGTTTTCATAACATGGTGACCACCTGAAGGGCTGCAGGCAATAGGGGAGCTTCGCTCACCCTGCTAACCCCAAGCATCCCAATGGGGCCGTGTCCCCACACTCCCTTGGCTGGTGACACCCAGGGGACCTGCAGCAAGCTCACAGCCATCCCAGCTTACGGAGGCAGAGTGGAGCCCCCTAACAAGAAGCCTGAGTGGGACGCTCATTGGCACACCTGCTTGGCTCATAAATGGTCAGAAGTCATTTCAGCATCAGCCTTCCCCTCCCATGCTCTTGACAGGAAGGTCCTGAATCAACAAAGCCTTACTTGCCATTGAAACTTGAATCTCTTCCAGCGTTCCCCAGACTCCAAAGCACCAGAAAACCCTTTCTCCAAACCAGCATCAAGTGCACGTCTCGGTGTGTTCCCCCTGGACAGGCCCTCAGAGCCCTTCCAGCTGTTTCTCCTAGGGTCTCTTGGTTTCCTTGCTGCTCTCAGTGTCACCTGGCTGCATTTGGGCTGTCCTGACCCTGGAGCTTGAAGTGCTCAGGCTCAGCCTTGGTTTCATTATGCTAAGAGAGGGCCTTGGTAGTGCTCCACACAGCCGTGCCATTTTGCAGCAAATTACCAAAGAGAAGTTTCCCAGATGCTCTTCCCCTCCTGGCATGGTGGCTGTGGTCTTCATGTAGGCAAAAAAAAAAACAAACAACAAAACCCAAAACCCTTTTCCATAGGCAGAGGGTTCAAAGAAGGGGCTGTGCCTTGTGTCCCAGACTGGCACAGGGCTGCTGGGGCTCTGCCCTTGGTGTCCCAGAGCAGCCTTCAGCCTGGAGGGCTCTCAGGGTGACAGGAGGTCTTGGGGGACAGGAGGTGATGGACCTGGCGAGGTCTCTGCCATCACTTCCCCCAAGTCCCCAGGATGCAGCCTTTGTTTCTTTGCCCAACACTTCTCAGCCTTGTGGGAGGGAGAAGAAGGAAGCACTGAGCACTGAGTGATGGGCAGTTTGTGGGGTGAATTTGGGGTCAGAATAGAAGGTCCAAGACTGTGAGCTGCCATTTTTGCTGTCTGGCAAGTCATTACTCCGTGCCTCAGTTTCCCCAGCTGTAAATTGGGGGTGCAGACAGCAACCAACCTCACAGGGCTCAGTTTGGGCTCTGTGGAGCACCTGGAGGGTGGCTGGTCATTCACACACACCGTGCTCCATCTGTCACTGAGTTTGTCACCAGTGGCACATGGTGGCACTGGGTTGAGTGCACCCAGCTCTCCTCCCACGGCGAAGCACACCAAGGATCAGCCCCACTGCAACATCCCCTGGCAGAAGCTGCCCATGGGGTTTTGTCCCTGGGCTTTGTCCCACACCATTCATCTCAGAAGCGTGCTGGGGACGTGCAGCCCAGAAGGACCTTTCTGAGGCCACCACAGAGCACACTGAGGACATCACCACTTGCCTATCCCCATGCTGAGCCTCTCCTTTATGTGCCCTTTCCTTGTACAGCGGGGCAGGATGCACAACATGCTATCTGTTTGTCAGCCTATTTTGTACTAATTTTAAACAATTCATAATGTCTGTGAAGGAGATCCCTTTTTAGCATCTTGTATTTTTCACCATCCGTTCTTGGTCAAGCAGTATTTTATATTTAACACAGTACTGGATCAAATTAAAAGCAAACCTAAGGAAGATAACACTAGCGAATGTTGTTTCCTGTGGAGTAGGGTTGAAATAAAAACTCAAGATACCTCACTACTGCCTGCGTGTTAAGTCAGAACGAGTTTCCCAAAACATAAGGAAATGAACTCATTTTTGGTCCGACTTGCCCTAAATAGCATCACTCAGTGGTGAAAGCAGCGAGCGCAGCGATGGAGCTCTGAGCACCGACACGCTTCTGTGCACAGATGGCCCCGGCATCCCCTCAGCTCTGCCCAGTCGGGAAAGGAGAAAGGGAGAAAGGTCTCAGTTGAGTTGGGACCTCAAAGGGATCCAACCCCCGCGTCACTGCCAGCTGCTTCAGGCACAGTCCGGCCCCATCCACGGCCCGCAGTGGCCCCGCGCACCCACACGCTGCCCTCTCCCTCGCACCTCCCCGCTGTCCCCACGCTCCCCTGAGGCTGTGACGCCGTCGAACTTGTCCCCAAGCCCGACCCCATCACCCCACCCGCCCGGGGAGCTGCTCGGGGCGCTGTTGGGGCAGCGGAGGCCGCGGGGTGGCGCCGCGGGGCTGCTCCGCTCCGTTCCGCTCCGCTCCGCCCCGGCCCCGCACGCACCGCTCCGCTCCGCACCGCACCGCCGGGGCTGCGCCGGGTGAGTACCTTCCGAGGGGGGCAGAGGGACGGCGGGGCGCCTTGCTTCTTTACGATCGTTATTTGTCATTTATTTCATCGGTGCTTTTGAAGTGGGGGGTTTAGCATCGCCGGGACATCCTACCCTCAGTCCCTCCGCGCAGATGCGGATCTCTCGCTTGTCCCCGCTGTTGTCTCCGGGATGGAGCCGCCGGGACCCCGTTGCGATAGGGCCGTTTGGATGCCGTCTTCGGGAGAGGAGGGCAGGCGAGAGTCTAGGCTTGCCTGGTTGCCACTGGAGACCAAACCTGCCCTGCAAGCCGCGCCGGGCACAGGAGGGCTGCACCATGGGACGCAGCACCTTGGCACCCTTATCCTAACGTGCACCCTATGGGACCCCTATGTCCTTCGAGCCCTCTGTCCCACTGCCTGCCTGGCTGGATCCGTCCTCTGCCCGCCACTTGGGTGCTTTGTCCCTTCACTGTGCCCTTTGGGATCCTGCCCCCGTTGGGGTTGTGCTCACTGGTGTTGCACACGCATTATTGTGCCTGCATGCAGCTGCTTGGCACCGTGGTGGCATCCCAAAGCCTTGGCAGATAGTCTGAGGACACTGCGCTTCGCAGCAGGCTGGAGAGGTTTCTTGCTGAGTTATAACTTTAGCACGGAAAACTCAGGGGAGGTTTCTACTTGCTGGGGAAGTGCTTATTTTCTCTGCTCTCCAGGATCAGTTAATTATCACTAGAAAAAAAAAATATATTGCTAAGGTCTCATAATTAGGCTGCCTGCTGCGACTCGGCTGCTTGGAAGGCAGTGGAAAGCAAGCTCTCTTTGTGAAATGTTTTTTGGATGTGTGTGTGAATAGAGCTGCACAGGCAGAAGGTGGTCACTGGGACTTGGTACCGGAGAGCTGGCGCACGTTGGCGGCTCAAAAGACCCTGCAAAAGGAGGATAAAAATAAAAAGGAAGGAAAAAAAGGGAGCTGCTACAAGGCTTCCTCCTGTAGGTCCCAAATCATTGTAATCTGGTTGTGAAGTTGTTGCTGCCTATAGGAATGGTTGGCTGTTTGCTGTCCCATTGGAGCAGCCCTGGGTTGGGCTCCGGGTGCCATCGTGGAGAGGTGCTGCTAATAATAACACCATAAGGAGTTTACCCGCACTGATCCGGCTCAGGACAGCAGTGGGCTGGAGCTGACATTACCAGCCTGGCCCCAGATTAGACAGATAAAAACACACACAATAATGAGCCGTGCTGCAAAGCAGAGATTGGGTCCTGCTTTTTGGGGAGGGGGTGCAGGGGTTCTCCATGGAGGGTGTGGGCAGCGGCGCTGGGCTGCAGGGAGGGGATCTGCAGAGGTTTGCAGCCAGGCTGAGTGTGCCAGCACCGGGCTGTTCTCATTTCCTCTGCTCTCTGAGTTCTAATTTGTTCCACATTGCAGTGCCGGGGCGGCCTCTCCCTCCCCACAGCATCCAGGCTGCAGCCGTTCTCGCTGTACTGAGGCTGTGAGTCTGCGTGGTTTCCATTAGAAAAAAAACCAAAAAAACATTAAAAAAAAAAAAAAGGGGGGGGGGGGAAGTTTTTCAAACAGGGCTCTGTGCAGATAACCTTTCTGGGATGGTCACAGCTGGAACCTCGCTGGCCACCCGTGATGTGCACACGTGGGCAGTGCTGTGCAGAGCTGAGATGGGATGAGCCCTGGGGTTGTAATAGTGACCCAGTGCTGTAATGGCAATGGTGACCTGGTGGCTACAGATGGATGGGCCCAATCCCATCCTCCAGGCAGGAGGAGGGATCCAGTTTGGGCCTGGGCTGATTAAAGACCTCAGCATCAGGAAGACATTCCTGCCACCGACGTGGCGGGTGGAAAATAGAGCCTGATGAGCAGAAGTGGTTCCACCCCCTGACATGCAGAGGGCCAGCCCCCTTGTAGTATGGCTTTGTGAGGGGTTTGAGTTAGGTGAGGTGATACTCCTGCAAAAATCTGTGCTCTGTGGTATTAAAAAAGTCACTCCAGTCCGGTGTTTAGAGGTGGCATTATCCAGCATCAAGAAAGCCCATGTGAAATATACCTGATCTGTTTGGAAGGCTGTTATCAGAGCAGATCTCACTGCTGGGCACTGCTGCCTACCACCCTGCCCCAAAGCATTTCGGTGCTTTGATCGCTTGTTTGGGAGGAGATAGAAATGATTTTTGGGAAACCTATGGCTCACACAGTGCTCACAGCTTGGACAAAGCTGGGCAAACAAAACGCATCCCAACGACAGCAGGCTGCGAAAGGGAAATCTTTCTGCTCCCAAAAATAACAAGAGGAGCCTTGAGTGTTTTCCTGTCCCTGACGTGTTGGGGGTGAGCACAGCCTGTGTCCTGCAGGAGCTGCTGGGGCTGTGTGTGTGTCTGCCTTTCTGTGCTGGAGAACTGGGAGTTTTCGCATTAACGACAATTTTGCTCTGGAAAAACAAACAAAAGGGTCATCTGCTGTGTGAATATGTTGTATCTCATCATAGAAAGGCTTTGGTTGCCCCACGGTGTGGCACTGTCAGATCTGGATTTGGGCTGGCAGCAGCCAAAAGGAGCTCCTACACCTGGCTGGGAGAAGGATGCAGAAAGCACCCTACAGCTGGGGATGAGAGCAACCTCTGCTCTGCCCACTTCTCATCAATT